CCCTTCCCTTCCCTTCCCTTCCCTTCCCTTCCCTTCCCTTCCCTTCCCTTCCCTTCCCTTCCTTTCCCTTCTTCAGATTGGTATGATCTCCAGTACTCAGGACAGTTTTTCTGTTGCATACACATTAATAGCATTACAGTGCTAAGATCTCAAACCCATTGCCACAAGATTTTAATCCAAAGCCTGCCATGAAAATATGAAGGACATTTTTAAGTGTGAAAGAAAATGAGTGGGAAACCATTTTTCCCAACACTCATATTTCCAACACTAACAATTTTGCTGCTGGCATGTTATCGGTGTATAACACCTTTAGTGTAACAGATTACTATCTACTTCCTCTGCAATCATTAAAGGCTTTCAATAGACTTAGCATTTTCAATTTGGGTCGACACATTTGATCCACAATATTTTCTACAGATGTTGTACATAACACAATGCCAGCAATAACCAGCCAGTATTGTTCCAGCTTGTTTGAATAATTGACAAAGCAACATTTAGCAGCATAATCTAAGATTAACAAATTGCTATGCCAGAGGCAGAAGAAGGTAAGATTGTGGCTAAATGAAAACTTGCTTTGATATACTACTTGATGCAAGCGATGGAGGGCATTAGAAAGGAAGAAGGTGAAGCTGGAACAGCTCCAGTCAAATTGGTTTTATCTCCTTTAGTTTCATTAGAGTCTTATTTTAAATGAGGGCAGGAGTAGGCCGTGAAAAAAAATCCACTGAATTGAAGCTTTAGGCGTCTGATTGAGTTTATTTATTTTTTTGGATTTTTAGATTGCTGCAATTGTGGGACTCTCAGCAGTTATATAAACAGGAGCACACTTAATTTTTTTCCAAGAGTAAGAATTCATGATCTAACCCTCAGACAATCACTCTCATGTAGAAAAGTCCTCAGTCCTGAACTGAACTAAAGTATAGCAAAGATGTCACGGCCTTTCTCGGGTTGGTGATAAATGTGGCCAGATACTGATCCATAAGGCCAACAGTTCATAATTTTTCTTTGAAGGGTTGGACTTGTTCTGTCCCAATATATTAATACACCAACTGCCCAAGTTGTCTGATCTTTCATATTTTTGAGACAATAAAAGATAGAGCTCATGATTGCTTTAAGGATATTTTAATGCAAAACTTTAATCCCTGCTAACCTGCCATTGGTCATGCAAAAAAGCAAAGTGAGTGAGAACCAGTGTTGGAAGAGACTCAAAATATAAAAACTGCATCTCACTTAACTTTTCAGATTGTAGGCACCGTCTCTAAGTTAAATCCCCAGTCTTACTCTGTTTATTAATCCACAGTCCTTTACACCTTTTTTCATTTAAATCAAATCCCCTTCTGAAAGTTAACGATGTCAGAGTACGCTATTGTCAATAAGTTCCAAGATTGTTTCAGCTAGCAACGCTGAAGGCAAAGAAGGAAGGAATCCCCTGACAAGGGTTATAAAAACCTACACGAAGTATCTCAGGCTGACTGAAATATCGGAGTCAATGATTGACAGATAAGCACCCTTAGAGCTGGTAAGTCTAGCGTACCAGGAGCCATGTTGCTCCAAGGGCCAAGCAGAAAACCAAAGGCCCGGTCAGGTCTGTCTCATTCATGATGCTGGCTTCAGCAGGCTTCATTGGGTTTAGCACTGTTAATGTTTTTTGCCAGATATGACTGAAGTTGATTCCCAGCTCTGCAACAGAAAACAGAAAAGAGTTCATCCTTTAAGGGAAAACTTTTGTGCAATGGTGCCTCAAGGAGCTTGAGAGACCAAAGAAGAAAACAGCCAGTTGGCTGTGGATGTTCTAATGACCCAAAGGATATAGTACAACTTAATCTGGACTCCAGCTGGGAGGTGTGGGTTACTAAATTATGAAAGTGAAATCCATGTCAAATTAGAAAAGGGAAACTGTGCAAAAATGATAAACTCTAGGACTATTAACTGGGCTGTTTAAATGTGGACAACCATGAGATGTCAGCCAAGAGTGACCATTCTCAATGTTTCTTTGCTACATTCTGCATTTGAAGGACCACCTTTTCCCAGTTTCATCTGCCCAACCCACCAGATAGGGGAGGCAGGGTATGTTACGGATCCTGCCCCCCGATTAAGAAGGTCATCTAGTGGGACCGAGAAGAAGGGACTTCTCCGTGGTGGCTCCTAGTGGAACATCATCCCTGTAGAGATAAGACTGGCCCCCACCTTGATGCTCTTCCACAAGGCCCTGAAGACATGATTTTGCCAGCGGGCCTGGGGGTCCCAGGTTGATCCGGAGCCCATCAAATGGCTAGTATAAATATGTTGTTGTCGCCAGGGGGGTGGGGTGGGGCTGTAGTGGGTTTTGTATTTGGGGTTTTTATTCCTGTAAGCCACCCAGAATCACCATGAGTCAGTTGGGCAGCCATATAAATTACTTAAATAAATAAAATAAATACATAAATTCTTGTGGCCACCTCAATTTTTCCAGGCCAGATATGGTATGCTTTGATTTATGAAGTGCGCACACACACACATCTTTATCAAATGAACAATTAATAACTTTAAAAACATGAATGATACCAAAGCTGTATGATCTGTTTCTCTTGTAATTGGTATAAAATATGGATGAAACAAGACATACTTAACTAAAACCACTGTTGGACTTGCATTTTAGGTACAAGCTTGTTAATGGAATTGGGGCTGCCTTACTCATTTGATTAACAATTGACTCTTAGCTTCCATTTATTTAACTTTCTGCTTTGTTTCTATTTTTTTTTTGTAATAACTTTATTAAATTTTTAAGCAAAAAAGATAAAAACTAACAGAAACTAATATTAATATGAGGAAAAGAAAAAAGGAAGGGAGGGAGGGAGGGAGGCAAAAGTGCAGAAAAAGAAGGAAAAAAGAAATATAAAGAAATGACTTCCGATTTTCTTTTATAAGAGTTATAAGTACAAAATTAAATTGAACTCTTACTCTATGATTACAACATAACTTTCATTTTTTCTATCATCTACTATTTTTTCTAATCATCAAACCCATATATCTTTACTTCGTTTTTTTCTGTTTCACACAAAAAGTCAAAAAGGGGTTTCCAATCGGCATTAATCAGTGTCTTTTCTCTAATCAAAGCTGTCAATTTAGCCGTCTCAGCAAGCTCCATCATCTTCACCATCCACTCTTCCCTTGTGGGTATTGTCAAATCTTTCCACTGTTGTGCATATACAAGTCTTGCTGCTCAAGATACTGTTTTGTTTCTAGAAGCTGATGATCCGTTTTAACAGAATGGAAAGTAGGTGATGCTTGGATTCCCACGCGTGTGACACTGGGGTTCAATACTGACATATCTGTGAGTAGCTTACTACAAACCTGACTGGCTTTTTAGTCTACCTTGCATGACAAGCACCTGATAAGCCTCATGCATGATGGTATTTGTAGTCTGGGTGGTCACTATAGATCCATGCTGACCATATTACCCTAAACATGGAAGAGTCAGCTTCAGTTCCAAAGGAGCTCAGTTCAGACCTGCAACATTTAAAGTCTTCTCACTTAAGGGCCATGTTCAACTCCTCTTTGGAGTTCAGCTGGGCCCTTACAGCTCGTTCCTTCTCCTGGAACGGTACAATCTCAATTTTCAAGATCCATTTTCCAAGTCTCCCACCTGTGCTCCTAATAAGGTACTGTGCCGTGAAGCCAGCTTACTTAAAATAGAAAGTTTTGTCTGGACTCACCTCTTTTCTTACTCTCTTAGGCTTCTTTTTTCCCCCACTGGCCCGGCTGTACTAACTCTGGTTGACAGCTTCAAGTCTTCCTGGAGCCAGGCACTTCACAAAAAATTAAAATCTTTTGGCTTTTCCTGGGCTGCCATCCCCCAGATGGGCTATGAACGTGCCTTAGCCTATCTTAAGCAGCACACTATTGACTTGGAGTTATAAACAGACCATTCAGACTTGCCCAGAAATGTTTATTTGAGCCTCTCTGCTCATCTCCTCCACCCTGACAGGCACCTCAGTTGTATCACAGTTCTCCAAATCAGAAGAGCTTTATCTTTGGCCAGGTTTAACACCCTTCCCACAACATCCCTTTTGAGCAGGGACTGTGCCCTGCAGCAGAGGAGCAATCAAAACACTAGATCACATTATATGATACTGCTCATTCTATGCTCACGCTGTCCAAGAATTGTTCCCACTTTTAGTCAAGCACCCCAGTTGCCTGGACTCCCTGTATCTCTAGGTGCTGTAATCAGACCCATCTGACTGCACCTCGCTGAAGGTTGCTAAATACTGCTCTACTGTTTGTACAACACGCCACAGTCTTTTTTCCAATAGTTCTTAGACATCTCCCATCTGGCTCTGTTGAACATCTATTTTAGCTGTATCTATTTTTTTTAAAAATAGTCTGTCTATGGTTTATGAAAACAGGATGTTCAAGCTTGTTATTCCACAGATCCCACAGTTAATGTCAATTTCATCCTTCCTTCATCTTATATCAGCAAGTTATTGGCTTAGGAACTCAAGTAATTGCTCCAAAACCTTTAACTAACATGACATTTCAAAGAAAGCAATGGCAAAAAGACCAAAGAGTCAAAATTATAAATGTTAAGTTGATCCAGGGAAAATCAAATTCAGTTTTTAGTTGTACAGAAATTTAAAAAAAAACACTTCAAGGGAATTAAGTTGATCAAAGACAGCAGTATTATGTAAGACCCAATGTACTCCCCACATGAGAATCCCATAATGCAACCTTCTCATGAGTAAGGGGATCAAAACGACACCTGTGATCCAACATTTTACATCTATGTCTTGCAGGGTTAAATGCAGCTATTGGAAGCAACCACTGAACACAAACTTTCAAGTTGAGCCCCAAGAAAAGCTGAACCTATAACAGAAGCTAAAACTAATATCTAATGTGGAACTTGAAAAATTGTGAAAACTCATGCTTTCCAACAGGCAACTACAATTTATGTAATGAGAATCTTAATGGATCAGTAGCTTATAAATTATCTTAAAATTGAATGAAGAAATGGAAGTAGGAAGGCGTCTTAAAATACAAATCAATCCTAGACTTCAAATTCATAATTTATCTTTCTACCCATGATAAATTTATATTTAACAACCAAGAAGGCTTTCCAGGGATCATTACAATGAGATAGATAAAAAATTAACAGAGTTTAGCATGATTTGTAAATCCAGTTAATATTTCTTTTGCTTAACATGGTTGTAAGGCTAAGATTGCCGTGACCACATATGCTACTCAATTTTTTTCTCCAAGGAGGTTGCTCTGAGGAGTAGGTTTCAGCTAATGGACTGAGATACTAACTCTATTTTCTATCCTAGGGATTTGTAGAAATAAAGATGGTGCAGATCACAAAATCCTGCTGAGATATCATAAAATAAGCAGTGCAGTTTCTGTGTCTTTTTCCCTGTAAGTAAGTCAACATCATTTAAGGAAAGTTACTCTTAAGTAAATGAGTATAGGATTGCACCCTAAGTATCTCAACTAGAGATTCTGAATATAGGATTTTCACCTCTTTGAAATATCAAACATAGTGGTTTTATAGTAAAGTAGATTCACTGAGACTCACAGGAACTTTTTCAAGTTTTGGATTAATCGATCATGAAAAAAACCTATGGAAATTTATTATAAAATATGTAAACAAGATTATAAGAAGCGTTTATTAATTATAGGTATCTTAGCATGATATCTGATTATGCAATATAAATACAGAGGGAAAGGCAATGTGATGAAATCTGAATGCAAAATTTATTGGGTTGCTGTCATCTAGAGGTAGTAAAGTGTATGATGTATGTGCCATAAATATGACTTAATGGCTTTATTTTCCATGCAAATGGTGGTGCTGCCATTTCGAACATAAACATGTGTCTGTGATACAAATGCAAGACAACAAATTAAATGGATTTTCCCCTCCCTTTTCTGATGTGGCCCCTTCAGACAACATTCGTTTTCAACATATTTCACCTTGAATTTTGACTGTATTAAGATCAGGCTAGTTACAACTTCATTGCAGCTTGTCTCAAAAAGAAATATGCAAATGCAGAAGATCATTGGATGACCCTTATGGGCTTCTCATGCTGGAAAGGCAGAACTCTGCACATTCCATGTACATGAGAGCTGGTATGTTATAGAGTTTAAGGAGCTGGACTGACACCAAGAAGACCCAACATGAAGTCCACCCTTAGCCATGGAAGCTGACTGGGTGGCTTTGGATCAGTAACTCTTTCCAGCCCAGTTTACATCACAAGGATGGGAAAAATTAGGAGGAGGGACAACTCTGTACGCCATCTTGAGGAGATTAATTTTGGGCCAGATGATCCTTGTAGTCCCTTCCAACTCTACCATTCTATGATCTTGAGCTCCTGGAGCAAAGGTGGGATCTAAATCAAAGAAGTAAATATTTCCACCTTCAGGTAAAAGTTTAGCAAAGGGGAGATTCTCTAAATAATCCTGTGAATATGTATTTTATAGAATTCATAGTGTTATTGAACATTAAATATTACGGGGCGGGGGATGTGTTGGGGGCAGGGGGAAGGCAAGTGAATTATTTAGTAGCACAGAATCTGTGAGGAGTATTCCTAGTTTCTGCTTTACCCAGATCTGCCAGAACATACGCACTGTATAATGAAGTGTTTTGAGTTTGTACCTTCAAGCAAAGGTGGCTCTTCATCAAAACTATCAGAGTAAGTATTGCTGGATGGAAACTGAGAAGCATCTGCTGGTTGGAAGATCTGGCCCCCAAGTGGCTGAGAAGCAGAGGCATCGGATTGCGGCACAGCCCCCGTCCAGAGTCTGGGACAAAGAAAGCATTAAGAAAAAGGCACTGCTGGAACGGAGAGGCATGTCCAGTGGACGTTTCTTTAGACTGTATGCATGCCCCCATGTCTACGTTAGCATACATTGTTCTCTATCCCTTCCAGAATTAAGACAACTGAAGCTGCTAAAATAACTTCCCCAATATCTGGTACTATTTCACATAATCTTACTGCCCAAAACATACATCGATGCTGCTTATCCTTAGGGTGGGAAGCATCTTCACGTGATTTCCCCACAAACCATTTTGATAAAGGGATCATGAAGGAATCATGTTGACCAGCTAGAGGTGAGGATCTTTTTAAGGTGACTGGGATTATATTTCTTTATTTCTTTAGACAATGTATATGGCTACCTTTCTTATGTTCCATAACTCTGGGTGGCTCACAGCAGCAACAAAAAAAGCATGTGCAAAAGCAATACAAAACCAACATCCCAAAAATTAAAAATAGCACCCGGCACCCTCAAGCAATGCTACTGAATAACAATAACAAAAATTACTGGGCTCCAGTGTCATCTGATCCCAATACTTGGGGGAAGAGTCAACTTTTCAAGCCTTCCCGAAGGTTAGAAAGGTGGGGGGCTGCTGAATCTCAGGAGGGAGGGTCTTCCACAGAGGAAGGGCCACTACTAAGAAGATGCGCTTCCTTGGTTCCACTAGGTGGCAACCCCCAAGGGAAGGGACGTGGAGCACACTCACTTGGAATGGGCAGATACCTTCAGAGATATTCTTCTTCCTAAATAATCGGAGACTCCTAATATACAAAAACAGTCCCAGAGTACCAGTGGAAGTACTTCACAGAGAACAAAAAATGGCAACAGTACTAAGTATGTATCCCTGCCAAAAGAAAATACATTGAAGATGGGGAAATCTGTCCACTGATTTATGGATACTACAGTTCTGTATTTTCCCATCCGACTACACAAACCATGATCGTAATATATCAGACAATATTAGAGTCCTCCTTGGTCAAGTAATTCTAAGCCTGGCCATCTGTGGATTAAGGAAGAACTTTTGAATGAAAAAAGATATTATAAAAATATTTCATATTGGAAATTAAATGTTAACTGATATCTGACAATAAAGGTATCAGATATGAACACAGTAATATCAAATGCCATAGATAATGTGTTAATGCAAAGGTTAGACCTTCAAAATCTCAATTTTTCTCCTCAAGCTACTTAGCAACGTAATCTACAATTTGTGCTAAAGCTTGATATTTTTAGCAAAATTGGAATGGCAGTGTATGAAACGTAATGTTTGCTTCGTTTCTGAGAGTCAGCCTTTTATGCTTTCATGCACACAGTTGAATTCATTTCCTTTTCATACTTCGTTTCAGCTTTATTTATGTTTAAAGTTCTGAATTTTCTAGACCAAGGAGAAGCAAACGTTTTAGGCAAGGGTGGATTTCCATTTTTCAGAACGTGTGATGGCCTTTTCCCAAGTACCTGTTGTGAGAGAGCTTTCCCAATCATAAAATGGCAGCCATAGTAGTCATGGCCAGTCCCCAAATGCCTACGAAGTGGCATACGGTAGTTGTCCAGTAGAAGCCACAATGATATCACATGTATCATGGCATCATCGGACATTTACATGATGTCACAAGGCGTGCAATGTCACTTGCCCCCCTCCCCAGAGACACCTAGGCAATCTGGGGAGCTTGCTCCTCGTAGCCTCTTCTAGCACCTTCCCAAGGTTGCCCTTGCTATTTTGAGGATCGGGCAGGAGAATTAAAATATGATGGGGCAGGAACCAAGCAAGTACTAAGAGAGGTATTCATGAATGAATTAGTGTCCACCAACAGCACTGTTTCTACTTTTTAAGTCAGTGTTTCTCAACCTTGGGAACGTTAAGATGTGTGGACTTCAACTCCCCACTATGGGAAACTATCCCAACTATCCATCTCCCCAAGCGAGGGAAGAAGAACCAATGGACCAAGGGCTTCATTCTGTATTTCTATATATTTCTATATTTCCTTTTCCTCTTTTTAAGGTAAATGGACTACATTATTTTATTAGGCCAGTCAGCTGATAAACCTTACAAGGTCCTAAATGCTGGGCTGTTTGACTTGATTCCTTCCTTTAACAATGAAATAAGTACTGTAAAGCGTTCAACTGTGAAAATAACTAGGTTTAATGTTGTAGATGACCAAGATATACTCTATTTCGTTGCAGATTAAACGCCATGCTAAAATTAAATCACAGATATTCTCACTTTTTACCACTGTAAATAGTTCCAGAATCTTCGGGCCCATTAGAGCTTTCCTCTTGATTGTCAGCCATGTAGTTTGACTGGTAAAAATCGATATCGAATTGCAGAAAGTCTGACATTCTAAGAAGATTAAAAAAATAAAAATACAAGCACTGAAATGTTAAATGTTTTACACATGTACAGTTTGCAGCAAAAATTACTTATATAGTTTATTTCTGTGTTGCTCCAGAATTAAAGTAAATAATTTATACATTATTCTAGCCCATGGCTTTTAAACTCATTGTTTTACTGAAAATACCACAAGTGGTTGGGTTCACACAATACATTAAACCAAAATCAAATTAACTACGCTTTGGTGTATCTTGCAGGAATCACACTTTTTGGGTGTTTCAGAGGGATTTAAATGACACTGCCAGGTCTGTGGACGCAACACACTGAATCACAACGTAGCCACCTCCCTTTTAGGCTAAAATGTTTTGCAAAACCAATCCATGCAGTTAATTTATGAGGCATTAAGTGAACCCAGAAAGAGTAGATTGAACCATGGTTAGGTTAGGAGCACCACTGCTGCAAAATGGTCATACTCCTTATTTCTTCTGTCTTCAGAGTTCAAGAATGTAGGGCTGTTCTCATACTGTCAGTGCAATGGTTGAGTCTATCTGTCTATTATGGACTTGGTGAGCACTGTAACATGGACCACCAAACCACTGGATGGTTCCCCCAGTTCTGCATAGTTCTATCTCAGTCTTAAATTATGATATGGGAAAATGACCATCTGATTTTGCACTGGTCCAGGCCTATGCAGTGTTTGATTAGCCTTTGATTCAGCCTTCCCTAATATGGTGTCCTTCAGCTGAGTCCCTTCAGAGGGATTCCCAGAATCCTTGGTCTTCATTCATGCCAGCTAGGGATTCTGGGATTTGTTGACTCAACACCCCTGGAGGAGCTGAAGGTGGGCAAGGCTTTATAAATGTATAAAGACAAAAAAATGCAAGGAAGAACTTGAGCACATTTGTACAATATATAATCATACTTTATAAATTTATAAAATATGATCAATATTTAATTTGGGCTACTTAAAAATCTACTGTTTATTCCATATTTATTTTCATATCTGTTTGCCTGGTTGCCTGTCATCAGACTAGTCTGCTTCAACCTTATGCTTTCATTGATTAAAAATATTTTATACCACAGTTATGCTATGCACCAATTTTATTTCTTACTAATTAACAAATTGTGTTTCCAAATATAAAACAAACAAAAAAATCTGATTTATTTTTAATAAGTATAATAAATTAGGGACTTTTTATTGGAAATGTGACATTTCCTATAAATTATGCAGAAGTAAAATTATGAGCCGGAGTGTCACCATTCCTAAAACACCTCAGGTTAATATTTTAAAATTTAATCATGCTTCATTAATATTTCTTGGAAGTACCAAATCAAATCAAAACCAAACCAAACCTTCCACAAGCTGTTTTTCCTCATTTAAGATGTTTGAAACCTGTAAACAGCTGCGATTTACAAAACCAGTATAACATTTATATTTAAGGAACGTACCTTAAGAACTGTAGTCACAACTTTTCTACAACAGATTCAGTTTACGGACGTAGAGCAGAATCCAGCCAACTGTTTCACTATATTAACCAGGGTGATCTTGAGCTATTTATAACATCCTAAATTTGGCCTTCCGACAGATGCATGACAGGAAGAAAGGCATTTGGTGCCAGAGGCAGCATTTCCAACATGATTTACTTGGCAACACTAATAAATGAAAGAGGAAGAAGTCACCCCACAGTGTTTCAAAGATCAGTAATTTTTGCTCTTGAATCTAAAGACCTCCTTGTCTGATACAGAAGAAACCAACAGTTGGGTATCTTTCAATTTACACAAAAGAGGGAATATTTGATGGGGTAGTGTGCCCTTCAGGAATGCACCCCCCCCCCAAAAAGTCATATTTATAAAAACTCATGGAATCATAGGATCAGAAAGGTTCTTGGAGTGTTCTAGTCCAGCCTCATACCCAGGGCAAGAATCTTCAGATCATCTCAGACACATGGCTGTCAACCTTTGCTTCCAAGAGCCCCACCACTGAATAACTCTCACAGTGGGGAAATTCCTCCTTCTTTTAAGTTTGGATCTCCTCTGCAAAGCTTCCGCCTGTTTGTCCTAGACTTTCTGTTGGGTGCTATGGAAAATAAATTCATGGTATGCTTATATTCTGGCAACCAGATCTGGACATGGTCTGACCAGTGCGGCATAGAGCAGAGCTATCACTTCCTGTGATCTTGATACCACACCTCTTTAGATGGAGCCCAAGATTGCATTGGCTCTTTTGGCAGCTGTAGCACACTGCTGGCTCATGCTTAACCTGTCATCTACCAGGTTGCCCAGGTCCTTCTCACAAGTGCTACTGCCAAGCCAGGTACCTCCTATCTTGTATTTGTGCATCTGTTTTTCCTACCTAAGTGCAAAATCTTACCTATCTCACCATTAAATTGCCTATTGTTCGTTAGGGCCCAATATTAAGTCTCTCAAGATCCTATTCAGTCTGGAGCCTATTTTCTGAAGTTAGCAATCTCCCCCCC